ACACACACACACACACACACACACATATATATATATATATACATATATGATTCAGCTACGAGGAGAGTATATGAAAGCATTCATAATCAGTAGGTATAAGACGGCGATTCATTTTATGAATTACAACTACCATCGGCAGTTGTGTTCAATGAGCCATATAAACCCGCATAAGATTCGAGTATACGAGTGGGAAAGTGACGAATAGACTTAACGTTAATGTGAGATACATGCAAGCCCATTCAAATCAATATTCACGAACGATAAATCCGAGAATATATCTGAGAAACTCTAGGAGGGAACTATAGCAATATCATAGTTTGCTTAATCACACCTTGCTGAACCCCAAAAAAGGGGACTTGTAACCAGCGCGGCGATCCAGCTCGGCGGTCCGCATACCTCTCGATGAGGGGTTTGTAGATCCATTTCTATAAGGCGTAGTGGGTACGTAATCTAGCATGGTTTCAGTGCTTTATACTGTACACCACTTACATATACACTGCTTGACGCAGACACTTCCTATCACTACATATAATACAATAATAATATTTTAATTTGGGCGAGTTCGATCACAACCAAACCACACACCCCCACCAGTAAATAAGTATGTACATATTTCTTTAGAACATATTAGAACTGCTGGCATTGCAGTAGTAGTAGAGGGCGGCTGGCCGGCTGGGGCCCTGGCCGGGCCTGGGACCGGTGGCCGGTGGCCCGTGGGACGGTGGGAGTTGAATGTCACCGACTGTTACCGCCAAAAAAAACTTTTCTAGGGTTATTCTGCGGTAGGGTTGTGTGCTTTGTGGAATTGTGGATGTTCTTAGCTATGGGATCTGTGCACGAATCACTCTGCTTTTAATGTGCGGGGATTCTATCCTTCTTCCTTTTCTTGAGGGTAATCAATGTGTAGGAATAAAGCTACAGAAACTACATTCTACTTACCACCAGGGTGGGAGTGATTATGTACTTACTGGAACCTAGTTTTCATCCTATAGTGAATGTAAGAGAGACAGAGGGGGAGGGGTTGCCATCTACAACTATATACTAATACACGTCATTATGATTGGCCCCTCCGCATATTTACATCGTATGGTATGGGATCATCAAGTGGATCAAGTATGCGTGAGAAATTGCTTCCGGAATTATGCACACAAAAAGCATATATCTATTTACAATGCGACTTGGATGTACAGCACCACTATCGCGCAATTCCTTGCAGACCTTAGCTATTTTCACTCGATATGTTCTATGAAGTATTCAGTGTGTAAGTTGTTCGAAGCAGATCTCTAAGAATCAATTACATGTCGCATGTATATAATTCCAATTAGTATTGCCATCGCCTTGTTAACGATCTAAATGAGAGCTACAGTTATCATTGGTGATATACATCAGTACCAATCCTGCGGACATCGCAACCCTAACTTGATCCAGGCAAAACACCCACAGGTCGTCACGTTACAGTCCAAATACATAATTTAATCGTATGCGTCACCCACTGCAACCTTCACTCCTAATATTGTTTTATCATTGTCCTACCACGAGCAGAGATTGTGTGGTGGTCCTCTACAGTTTTATTTCTGCATATTGGCTAAGAAACCGTTGATATAGAATTGCAGGGCTTTTGCCCCGTGGTTTTGGTATTATTGCAAAATAATAAGTTTGTTGTAGCAGAAATTGCCACTACCATAAGACACCGACCGAAAGAGCTCCGATAAGCGAAGTGGTACCACTTTATCTGTACGTATTTAACATTTGGGTGTCGCAAAAGGGACTTTTATATATGCGTCTCTCCGTTTCCGGGTCAGAAGCAGAGACTATACGTGTATTTTCCAGGTAGATGTCGCTTGTCGCACCGATCTGTTAGTGGTTTTAATATCCGACCACAACAGAATATCACATCCCCATTTTGAAGTGTATTGTCTAATGTTTCCACACATTCCCCGATGTTCACAGCTGTACCTGTCTTTCCGAGCAAGTAGTGCAAATCCTCCTTTGCTGCTATTTCAAATATTGCAACAAAGCATTGAAACTCGCATGACGATACAATTTATCTTCTTGAAGTTGTGGATAAGTCAGTTGGCCTCAAATATTGCAGGGATTACAAACACGCACACTGCCCTTACTAGCAATACCTGAATAAACACATATTCTCACAAGTCATTCATTCCCGACCGCGCGAATATGTGTGAAGCAGTTCCTCGTATACTTCCATGAATTTGTACCAGCGTAAGAAGGGCTAATACAGCTCTATCAAGTCTTCACATGCGCCACGCTTTGTACGATTTCCTGGTAATACCAAAGCTGACATTGTAATCCTGAGTTACTCACTTCACAATGGTTGCCACTTACGTCTACAAACTTCGCAATATATACCGGTGCTAGATGTTCAAGCTATCATTTGACAGGTCGCTAATAACCAACCGTGATTCGGGTTGAAGTGCCGAGATTTAGATGCAAAACAACGCCATCAGCCCAGTTCATTCTAAACGCACACCCGTTCTGCAAGGCTGATATATAAATTCATTACTTCTTCAATTAATTTATATAAACGATATACCTAACAGAAATTATTCTACATATTCCAAAATAATAAAATGAATATGATAAAGATGGGTTTGCACACTGTACAGTTCATTTCGCCGAAAACTCTACACACTGAAAATACATTCTACTTCTTGTACACTCAGGATGAAAAGTAAACGATGGTGACAACGCACACGATATAATTAACAATAAACTGATTATCCAATACTATACAGAACCGAATCACCACTACCATAAACCGACCATTATTGAACGACAATTTACACACCGTTCCAGGAAGTAAGAAGCAATGGCACAACCGAATCCAATATCGAATATAAATTATAACTAGCAATAGCACAACCAAATCCAATATGTATTATAAAGAAGCAATAGAACAACCAACTCCCATTACCAAATTTGATTGATAGCAAGCAATAGCACAACCAATGCCAATATCAAATTTATAAAAACCTCGTTGCAAAACGCATACACCGAAAAACAGACACAAACTCGCAAAAAAAATATCGGCAGTCTAATTCAAACTTTAATACAACGTATATTAGAATAGAATTACTCGGGCTTGGCACCAAGCATCGCTTCCTTGCGCTCAGCGACACGGGCAGCACGACGCTCACGGGCAGCCTTATCCTTATTACGACGAGCCTCAGCCTGTGACGCCAACATGTTGGTACGAGCGGCCTCGGCCTTCTTACGGTGGATGTACTCCATCAACACACGTTTGTTCCTGAACTGATTACCCTTTGATTTCTGGTATAGCTCGTGGTACATGTACTTGTCGAGCTTGCCGGCCTGTTAAAGTATACAACGAGCATAAAAAAAAAATATCGTGATGTTTCCTCATTACAATACACGCGCAAAAATTGTCCCAAACAAGCTAAGTTATATACTTACCTCACGATATTTACGCAGAAGGTGTCGCAAAACCCTCATTCTTCGGATCCATAGAACCTTAGTGGGCAAACGGGCATCGCGGGTACCCTTGCGCTTACCTACACCGGAGTGTCTACCCTTACGCTTCGCTTCCGTTCGCAAGGCGACGCGCGAGCGCGAGTGCACTACCTGGGGTTTCTTGATGATAAGCCCATCCTTGATAAGCTTGCGCACTCCCTGACCTACAGGAAAGAGAAGCAACGGGTATTAACAATTAATATATATAATTGCATGCATACATCTGTGATACACACCTAAGGGTAAATAATAATCCCTATACTTACGAATCTAGTAAATAACACTTTCATTTATATTGCAGTGTACCGGGATTATCAGATAATAAGTAGAATCTCGTCTAGGTTCACGAAAATAACCCTAAAATCAAATACACATGAAGCATTAACAACTCCCGAAATGTCGCGATACTTACGGTCTTAAAACAAACATAAAGAGAAGTAACATGCACATAAATGATGAGACGTGTTGGGTGTAAGCATTTTTCATATATATAAACATAAATAGTGAACATACGAGAGTTGGCGTTGGAAATCTCTGAGGTTTCGTTGGGGTCAATCCAAACCTTGCGCTGTCCGCACTTCATGACGGACGCGGCGAGCCGCTTCTGTGTCTTTAGGGACACCCTATGTTGTGTGGTTCATACATATAAGTATATGCTGGTGAGTATGCATACACATAAGCATGCGACTAGGATAGATATCTACATTATTTCGGTGCTGTCAGCAAGTGATCCAGACGTAGATGTCAGGGTGTGTCAGCAAACAGAAAGTGAGATGACATGCACTGTGGCTTCGGGCTCGTATACAGTTGCTATGCGAAACCATATGATACATTATATCGTTCAACAGTATTTGAAGAACAGTTGACTACATTCTTCTGCACTTCAGCGCTAACCTTCCATGATCTAATATAAACAGACACGTATTTGTGAGTGTCGATGTTGAGCACCTAAGCTTTAACTATATTGTCAGAATTTGGTTACTGCTTTTACACTGCTTTGTTCACAGCTTTTCTGTTTGTTCTTTCGCTCCCGCACATAATCCGAAGCGCCTATACTTCACACTAAAAACACTCGTAAGGTGCCATATACGAGTCTTCTACTTATATCATACTATACTTCATTGCTGCCGTATTGATTGTTGTTGCATTGCATCTGAGCAATACGGAAAATAACACTAAAGGATGTATATATATATGCTTCATGACTGCCGCCTTATGCTACGAGCTTTCAGTCTACTACTAGCCTATTTCCACCTCATTGTGTGTCTTCTCAATACACTATATCCACCACTTTCTCACTTACATTTTTGCTTACGATAAGAGAGCGAGAAAGGGACAACGGCCTGAAAGGGTGAGCGTGTATATGTGAAATTCTGATATTTTTTACTTTATGTTCGCATGTGGTCCATTCAAGATCTTGACATTTTCCAGCAAAATTTAAAAAAAAATGGGCCGCAGCCCAGGGTTGTAGAAGGCTTGTGATAGTAGACAATTAATGAAAAGCTTTTTTTCTAAATATTTGGATGGTACTTAAAACTACCTCAAATCAACATCAAACATCATTTATTACATTGTATCATGTTTAAACTAATGGACATCTTTGTACGGTGGGATGTACAGTCATACCAATGAGCGCTCGAACTCACTTCCAAAACATACGACAAGTTAGTCAGTATGTCTCGGTTAATCCTTAAGATAACCCGAACAGAATAAGTGGATTTTATAGTTCAGGTTGACGATGTAGATGAGATAAATTATATATGAAACAAGTGGCCTTCGGCAGTAGAACGCATAATTCCCTTGACATTCAGAGCTGATAGCGCGCATCTTGTAAATCAAATACCCTTATAGTTTAATATTCCAATATAAACAGAAAGAAGATACATGTATACATATAGAGGCACAGTGAGGGCAGCTGTTGCGTTGCCCTTGCTGATTGTTTTTTTAGCGCAAAAGCCTATGAAACCAAGTGCTGTTTTACGTCGCGAAGATATAAACGTTTAAACACAACTCACACCTTCAGCCGAGGGTATTTTAACACCTCGCAAATGATTTTAATCTCCCATCAGTGGTATTTTATGGTATATTTCAAATAAACTTCCCCACCATATTTCAAATATACTTGAGGCACAGACGCTGTTTTTACCGTAGGTAAGACGCACATAATATCTTTATCATACAGGCCTATTGATACACTACCGTGGCAATATGCTTTGGTCCCGCCATAACGGTACTTTTCTATTTCATTGTCACTTAGTACTGAACAGTGAAGTGTGTGAATATATACGTATGCCAGCTTATTCATTACATATACCGCTGTGTGCAATGCGCATGTGACCACATAACTAGTATACTGGGATTTGCGGTTATGGAGAATGGATTCTAACTTAGTGCACGACAATTGATGTGAAATTCCTTCGACGATATGATACTACGGGCATGTATTTCAGTAGTACAGAGTTTATTGTGTGGCCTGAGGCAGAATTCTCATATCGTCTCCCACCGCATTTCTCATCCTGACGAACCAAGGGCCAACCTTCGAGTTCTTCATTATATCGCCGAACACACTGTACAGATATCACGAGGTATGACATATTCAATCCATTGTCAGTGGACACTGAATTCAAAGTATGCTGAGTGTAGCATACGTGGTTATTTGAAGATGACACAATATTCATACAAACCCCACTGATTTTCTTCTGTATTGCTACAACAACCGGACAACAGAAGAACCATAACAACGGCCTTGATAGTAATAAGAATAGTAAGACTCATTGAAGCAACGAGATAAGACTACACAGAACATACGGCATATTGCTTAACGCTTTGCAGATGCCAAAGACTTCCAGGTCGATCATGGCAGGTGCGTCGCCTCCTTCGAATTGCTTATCTGCCACTCCTTCGTCGACCCACTGCAGAAAGTAGTTGCCCGAGAGAATATAAACGGCGCAAACAGTAATATGAAACAGACAAACGACGCTCGATACCGGGTAGTTATTCGTATGCGGCAGCATAGGAATGACTTCTACATAGTATGTATAAATTCAAATCCACACAAAACACACACATTTATCTATACCAATTCCCATACCTATACCTATGTATATATATATATATATATACATATACATACATAAACACATGATTTATGTATACATATACATAAACATAAATATTTATACATACGTACATATATACGTATGCACATACATAGAATACACACACACCCACACGATACATTATATATATATATATATATTGTAAATATTGTATATATTTTTACATTCATATATATATATTAAATATAACATACTGCTGCTCACAGGTACACAAATAGATATGTATGTGCCTATACTTAATATAATATGAACAAATCCGATTTTACACCTTGCAGTGGCATATCACGATTGAGTGTAATAATGGTGCCAAGCTGAGCTGCGTCCATTATAGACATGCACACACCCCACCCCACCTTGTCCAAAGCGTCGTACATGGCTTGCCTCTCATCAGTGATTCCTAGTCGATTTTTGTTGCGCTGTTAGGGGTAATATAAATTGATATTGGTTAAACCTATATCCTAAATGCATCAAACTGGGGCGATAGTTTGAAAAAGGCCACAGCAAGTGAGAAAACCCCCCCACCAAAACAATAAGGCGGAGCAGCACAACTTCATAGGAAATCTGTATCAACACCACATTTGCGTACAATCTATACATATACACGTATGTAAACTACAAAATGCGCACAGACATACACATACACAAAATGCATATAATGCCCCGCAAACCGTATCTGTATATTACTCTAGCAAATTAAGAATTTCGAGCAAGTCCTATGAATTTGTCAATAGGACGGCACTCACCTTGCCAATTAAGTACATAACAAATGCTCCGAAGTACTTCGCAGACAAGGCTTCGAACGTCGTAAAATTGCTGAGAACGAGATGAGGAAAGCAGCACAAATTGAGCTGTGATTATACATACACAAATTAGATTTAGTAAACGCTACGGAGGGGTAAAAAAGTGCGAAATAGGTGAAAGATCAGAATTGAAAACAAGCTAGAAGTTGCTGGTGGGAAGAGTAACGCAACAATACAAGCCGCTGCACATTTTGGAGAAGGAAAAATGGGCGTTTCAAAAAGCATGCAGTTGGCCAAGGGGGTTAGCTACAAAGTATACCTCACAGTGGTGATGTATTCGAATGCTTTCAAAGACTCCGAAGGTGTTCTGTACAAGTTCGGGCTGATCAGTTTCTCCAGCGTAGTGCCCATCCATTCGCGCCACTGATCGGTTGACTCAGTCCTGACGATAATACAAAATGAGTGGCACATCCGTATCAACATAGTGAGAGAATATTACGGTGGCAGTCATCGCTATCACTGGCAACCTACCTCGTGACAAAATCATGCTTATGTACTGTGACCGCAGCAGAAGTCGGTCAGCAAAACGTACGACACAGGAAAACACTTGGATGCTATGACCATTATCATGACATATATACATACGGAAATGAAATTGTATATATACATACACACACATACATAGATACATAGATACACACACATACACACACACACACTTCATATATATATATATATATATATATACATACATGCATACATGTACACAAATACACACACACACACACATATATATATACATATTTATATATGTAAATATATATATAATACACAGACGCACACACAAACACACACACACATATATATATACATATACATATATATATATCTACACACACACACACACACGCACATATTTAAATATTTACATATAATATAATACACACACACACACACTCAC